AATATTGTATGTTATCACTTATAAGTGGAACCTAAAAAATACAACACATTAGTGAATATAACAAGAAAGACACAGACTCAGATATAGAGAACTAGTGGTTACCAGCGGGGAGATGGGTGCAGAGAGGGGCAACATAGGGGTAGGGCGTTAAGGGGTACAAACTACTATGTAAATAAGCTTCAAGGATAGATTGTACAGCACAAGGAATATAGCCATATTTTGTAGTAACTTTAAATGGAGCATAGCAATAAAAAATAGAATCACTACACTGTACACCTCAAACTAATAGATTATAAATCAATTATACCTCAATAAAAATTTTAATCTGATAATGGAGATTAACTGAATGGAAGGAACACCAATTAGAAGGTTTTTGGGGAACTCCCAGCAGCATGATAATCTGAATTAATACAGACATGCTCTTCCCACTACCAATGCTCAGAAATATGGGATCAAATATTAATGGATGATAGGCAATGATGGTTAAAATAAAGAACAATATGATCGATGACATAAAGAATTGGAGTTGGGAGGATAAGATCTAAGATTCTAAGGTCCTCAAATGCAGCATGTTTACTGGGCTGAAAATACAACACTGAAACGATAGGGAAAAAACATACTTTCTAACCCAGTAGCAGGAATAAAGAAAAGAACAAAAGTAGAGGGAAAGAATAAGGCCCCTTGGAACACCACAACAGAACATAAATCATACTTCCTTATATGTAATATCAGTATTAAACATAGGGTGGGATGGACACATATCAGTTTCAGAAGAGTGGTTTATTCTGGAATTGTTAAATACCAGGAAGCAGGGAAGCAAATGGAATCAGGAGAGGGTTCAAAAGGGCTTCGCTCTACCTGTACTGTTTTTGGTTTCTTGAAAATATCTGAAGCAAATATCTGTATCTCCTTATTAAACTTTGGGAGGAGTACACTTCTGTGTTTATTCTTTAATTTCATGTTGTATAATAAGATAGTTGAAAAGCTAATGAAGTAAATGAGCCTAAAGTGAAGGGTCTGGTTTAACAATGGGACAAGAGGAGCCTTCCCTCCCGACCTTCAGCACTTCCACCCAGGGCAGGAATCCCCTATATGATAACCATGAAGCTAGAGTGGCAACGCGATGTGAGAGCGTATATTTACCAAGTCTCAAAGAGATGTACGTTCTCACCTTTGTTACTAATAGTTTAAGATTTTAAAAGGCAAATGCAGTCATAATCCCTATCAAGAAAGTAAGTTATACTCCCTATCAAGAAAGAGGATCTGGGGGTTCGTTCCGCAATCTGTCTATAGCTCCCTCTAGTGGCAGCTCCACATCAGTCGCTAACGCAAGAGCTCACTTTATGTGTTGAAAGTTTGTATACATTTTCCAACACATTTAACAAAACGTACATTGGATTATTTTGTTTTTATTATTAAACAGATAATGAGAAATTTCAGAGTAATGGGCTTTTAAATTTTATTATTCCTTCATCTTCTAAAGTGAAAGGATTATGCTTTTCTTTTTAACTGTAGGTTAAATCTGTTAAATTTGAATAGGTACAATGTTACCAATACATACTTTTTTTATTTTTGAAATATAATTCTTTAGAAATGTTGTACTTCATGGCAAGTCTCTGGAGATATGTCAGTGCCCTCATTTTCATTAATATGTTTGTACCTTAGGGAAAACACTGAAATAATATGAAATAGTTCTATTGAGTTTTCCTGTATTTATCAGAATTGTGGTGGTTCCTTGCCTGATAATGTTAGTTGACAGAACTATAAGGTTAACAGTCATAATTTCATTTATTATTTAAAACTTGGCCACAACCTTACTTCTTCAATTTAAAATCAGTATCTTCTTGGCCAGTGGGTTTTAATTGGGGATGCGTATCAGACTTACCTAAGAAGTTTTACTGAGATACGGATGTCTAGGACTTACTCCAGACTTGCTGACTCTCTTTACTTGATATTTTGGATATAGTCTCAGTAGAGTTAGAAAATGCTTGGTATGTCCTTGCTATATTATGTACATTATATCTCAAGATTATAATATGAAAAATGATGTTCATCCATTTTTGTGAATCAGATGAAACAGGCACTGACTTTGAAAATTGCCTAATATTATCCTATAGACATTTTATCTGAAATGTTTTTGAAAGGACTTTATCATCTCTTTTTTACATGCCACAAAAACAACCAATTTACTCATCAGTTGCAATGTTCTTGTTATGAACTCTCATCAGATGGTTCACTTTGAAAACCATCAGTAATACATCTACCACAGCTGTTGGTAGTCTTTATCGACTACAAATAGGTTGTGTTTTTCTTTAATGCCTTCTTGAAGGTTCTGCCATCAGCTACAGATTAGAGTTTGTCTTCAAACAATGACTGTCTCAGAACCCCAAAGGAAAGAACTGTACCAGGTACTTTAAGTTAATGACACTTCAAAGAATAGACTTTTGGGTATAGGCTTCTGTTGGCATTGCTTAAACAAGTTTTAGTCTAATAGTGAAGACTGGGTTGGCATTTCCAGAACTCTTCAGTTGAGAAGCCAATGGCTTCGTAAAACTGCTAACTCAAGATACAAGAGAATAAGAATTATTTACCCGGGATGCATGAACTTCTGAGGCATGACTGTAGTTATATGTTTAGAATATCATTAATAACTGTTTTAATACTGTACTTTCTGCATATAAAAGCTTTCTTCTTAAGCTAGCTGTATCTCATAACAATTTAGTAGACTTTGTTTTATAAAATGAAATAAAACATTTTTAAATGATTTTTTTCACTGAACTTCCCACCCCCTACTGCTTGAATTCAGAAAATAGAGCATTCTTACTTTTCACAGCAATAAAGTTATTTGCAAAGGTTCAACAAGGACCTGTCCTCCTTTTACCAGACCATACTGGAAAAATTAATTATGCAATCAAGGCCTTGCCTAGAATGTCGCATTTGGGAGAGATGATCATTTAATCAGATATGACCAGATACTTTTAAGGAATTAAAATAGCCCTCCCCCCAAAACTGGTCTGGCACCCAGCTTACAGGGTCTAGCCCTACAAGAGAGTAAGAAAGGTCACTTCTGGGCAGGCCAGGAAGTTTGGGGTTTTGGGGAGACCTGAAGAACGGAAGAATTTGCTCATATTTATAGGTGCTGCCAGTGAAATCTGCAGGAGAGAGATTTTTTAGCTTGGCTAAGAGTCTAACCTCCAGGATAGCCTTTTAAAATTCCATCTGAGATTCTCTATACTTCTAAGAAAGTAAACTTAAGAAGGACTGTATCATAAATTAATATAATCAGACAAACCTTATGGCTTTTCTCACTGATCCAGATCCTATCTGTATTTGCTGGGTATTAATATTCTGATTAAGATTTATGGTTAAGTGTGCTATTAATATCTCTCATTTTTTAAGTCATAAACTGGTTCTTTATTAAATTCGATCTAGTCCTTTCTTTATAAATCACTTACTGTACAGTTCCTTGGCTCACTAGTTAATTTGAATGAGATGGAAAGAAGAATGCAGTCTTTAAATCTTTACCAATTCATTGCTCCCTTTTGGCAGGAGGACGGTGCATAAGGCAGAGGGAAGATGGAGGATGGTTACAGGGGAAATAGAGTTCAGATCAAAGAACCAAAGCAGAGGAAGTTAAGGTTCTCTTTCAGAAATATGCTATAGCATTTCTGACAGACAGTCACTCTCCTTTTTCTCTGCTGCTATGGTTGGAAGAAGGGAGTATTTCCAAATTTGCACTTAATTCTGAGAAAACAATATTGTTGCCCTGAAGGTATCTTTTATTGCTAATAATAATGATTTAGATTTTTATGCACACAAAACATCTATTATTAATTTCTTATTCCTTTTACTATTTTATGTCAAATTCAAAAAAGGAGAATTGCAGAAAAAGTGGTTTAAACTCAGTTTAGATTTTGTTCACCACACTTCCTACTTCTGGCCATATCAGTCTTCAGGATTTTCACATTTTTTTTTGGTGGTTTCCCTCACTTGACTGGTCACAATAAATGACCAGTTTTAACTGAGGTATAATTTACCTAGGACATTAGTTTCAGATGTACTATATGAGTCAAGAGTTGTTTACATTGATCACTGGTTTTATATTACACTAATTTTAATGACTCTTTTAGTAGTTGATATTGTGTGCCAGACTCTAAGGTGTAAATACGTTTTGTTCAAGGCAAAACTAAGGGAAGTGACATTTAAATATACTGAGAATGGAAGTAATATGTTCTCGAGGCATCTGCTCTGGTGGGCTTTTCTTCCTCTGGGCCGTCTGCTAGTTCAGGAACTGCCACCACAGAGGCGTGTGACGAGGGCTTTTCTCAAAGACTGCAAACCAGCCTTTTCTAGATTAAAAGTGGTTTTGTGTGTTCATTTTAAACTACTACTTCTCCCTTACTTCCAAAAATTTCCATGATTTGCACATGCCAACTGTCTGGAATTTTCCCCATGATCGTAGACCTTCCAGGCACAGTCCTCTAATCTCACACAAGGTGGTTGGGAGCTTGGAGAGCCGACCGTGTAGCCCGATGGTTAAGAGCTGGGACTCTAAGGCTCCACCCTTCACATCCCAGCTCCCGACCCACAAGCAAGCTATTTAAATTCCCTGTGCCTCAGTCTTCTCACCTGGACAATGGGCTTGGTCACAGCACTTATATCACAGGGTTGTTGTTAAGATTAAATAAGAAATCTGCAAAGAGTTTTGTATACGGCTAGCACAGGAAGCACTCACAAGTTAACTGCTACTATTAATACGAAATGATCTGTAGCCCTGAGACTTCATTTTTTCTCAGAGCTCCAACTCTGTGTAATAGAAATGGGAAACCACAAAGCAAGACATGATTTACAAAAAAAAAAAAAAAAGGCGCGGTGGTAAGCTTTTCATTTGGAGATTAGCTCTATTCTCCGCGCGCTTGGTAGAAACTGGCAGCAAAGTTTTAGGAAAACGAACTTTTGTTTACGGCAGTCACAGGGAAGCAAGCGATGGGGTTCCTTACCTTTCGCTCTTCAGTGTTAGTGGACGCTCCGTGCCTGGCAGCTTGAGCCAAGATATCTGAAGTTCCCGAGGAGCTTCTGTTAAGAGAGTCCTGGGAAGTCTGGCGCCTTTGGAGCAGCCCAGTTAAGGGGCTTTTCCGCAGGTCTCGCTCAGCTCACACTCCACCAGAAAAGCCTTGAGTTACCGGTACGTATTTCTTTCCCATCAGGCCTCCCTCCTCATGCTAACGTGCGGGAACGGCTGAAACAAAGCCGCTCCTTTCTCATACGGCACTTCGGTACCAGCAGCCTATGGGAGCAGGTTTTGTTAGCATTTATACCCAGTATTCATTGGCTCATTCCCAGTTCCCGAGGGGAAGACTTCATCCCTCTAAGGAACCCCTCCGCCACACCTTCCTAGGGAAGCATAGGCAGTGTCTCACTTGTTCACAAGTCAGCCTGTGTCAGCTGGGCCACCTTGTGCCCATTTGTCATGTGTCACCTCTTGGACCCGGCTACCCTGCCGAGGACACTGAGTCTCAGGCTGCCAGAGCTTCCAGATGCTAAATGGAAAGCCATGCTTTGGGTCCTTATTGGGTCAGAAATGGGCCGACTGCTGCTCTCTGCATGGATTTCAGGCTTTGTTTTCCTAGGCAGGGCACCCAATGCCAAATTGAACCCACGACTGTCTCCTCTCTCCCCCACGGTCCCTGTAGTGTCAAAGGTCCTTCTCTCAGGACCTCCCTCCTCCCCTCCGTGAGACCCACTCAGGCAAATACACAGCCCTGGTGGTGAGCCTCAAGTCAGCCTTACCTCTCAGCCGTGCTCCTCCCACCCATCCATCCTTCACTGTCCCTACTAGGTGTTCTCCCAATGGCCTTTTGATTCCAGAGGGGCCTCCTCTCTTGGTTGCATGGAACAGTGAGGATTCACAGTCTGCTCTGACAGTGAGACCCCACAGGGACTGTGAGTAGCCTCTCCCAGATGCTCGGACACGGCCTGGTTCGCCTGATCCCGTTCTATTGCTCCCTCCTCTGCTGCTGGCTGCAGCAGGTTTACAAAAGGCAATTTTCACTTTTTAATGCATGCTTTCTGCTTTTTTCCATATCTCCCAATGACATTAAGCAACTGCCGGTAAACTTGGAGACATCAGCTGAGCTGGACTCATCCATAAGGACTTGCAGATGGTCGTGTCTCCTTCTGTCCTTGAGGTGGGAAGCCCCATAAAAAAAGACCAGCAGGACCCCCAGGAAGGGCCACTACTCTCCTGCCAGCACCATGCAGTTCCCTGGCTCACTTTTTGCCTCTGAAATGGCTTACTTCTAGGAAAGTGGAACTTACTCCTAAAATTCTGTTTGTTCCCTGAGCTAAC